AGCATCATATTTTTAAACTAATCCGAAAATCCTAAGTGCGACCATATATTTAAAACGCTTCTCCTCAGAAGAAAATTTTGCTTTTGATTCTTGAATAATGATACGAACTACTATATACTATATGTACTTTCTTCACACGTTGTCGTTTTGATGTCATGGCTCATTACTTTTGCTAAACGCAAGGACAAAATCTGTTTCATCTATAACAACATAAACTGAACCTTATAATTAGCATTCTGGCGACCCGTTTTGATAACTCAACTCGTGTTATGTCAGATGTATGCAGGTACATTTAATTTTCCGATATATGGTCCGGATTATTCAGCGTGTGTTAATCAATGCCCACCGTTGTGGTATTTACGTGTCACTGGTCTTCGATATGTTCAAACCAAGTATACTAAGTGACATATAAATCCGAACACCCAGTTTAAATGGTTTTATTTTAATAAAATTTTGTATAAGTACTTAATGAAGCATAATAAGTAAATGATAAAAATTTCAAAATGATTGCACTGCGTTAAAGCCCTTTGACCTTTAATAATGTGTGGATGCATCCTGATGTGCTACGCATTCTCCAACGCGCCTAGGCATGCTTCTGATCAGGTGGACAATGCCCTCCTGTGGTATCTCATTCCAGGCAACCACCAACTCCTCTCGAAGTGCTTCTAGAGTCTGAGGAGGACGTTGCAAATTGAGCAATCTCCTACCCATCATATCCCACACGTGCTCAATTGGGGATAAGTCGGGAGATCTTGGTGGCCATGGTAACAATGTGACATCATTATGTTGAAAGAAGTCTATTGTGACTCTTGCAACATGTGGTCGGGCATTATCTTGTTGGAAAGTTGGATCTGCCAGGGTGTCAAGACAGGGTAAAAGATGGGGTTCTAGAACTTCGTGGATATAACGCTGCGCGTTCATGTTACCTCTGATGAAGATTAATGGTGACCTGGAACCATAAGCTATAGCACCCCATACCATAACTCCAACAATGTGATGAACATGTCTTTCAACAAAAAACTGTGGATTCCTCCTTTCACCACGTCGCCTTCTAACCCTGGCACGATCATCGTGCATGCCTAAACAAAATCAAGACTCGTCACTAAAGACAATACTGTTCCATTCCTGATCCCAGAGTGACCGTTGTCTGCACCACTCAAGGCGATTACGTCGGTGTTCTCGAGTTAAAGGGAGGACCCAGTGTGGCCGGTATGAAAACAAGCCAAAACTTCTTATTCGTCGGTAAACACTTCGCATGCCAATAGGTCTTCCGTGTTCTGCAAACCATTCATTTGCAATGGACCAGGTAGTGGAGAAACGGTCCCTTAAGGCCAATAATCTTAGGCGGCGATCTTCACGGTCTGTTGTTCTACGGCGGCGTCCAGTGCCCCTTGCTCTTTGCGTACGGCCTTCTCGAAGCCATGCCTGATAACACCTAACCACAGTGTCTACACTTCTTTGCACTCTAACTGCAATTGCCCGAAAAGAAAGTCCAGCTTTCCGAAGTCCCACTATACGGCCCCTATCAAACTCACTAAGTTGACGAAATCGTACAGGTCTCCGTACTCTAGGCATCGTAACCGATCGTAAAGGATGTCAAGAACCAAAATTCGCCAACGTTGATTCTTTACTGCGGCTGAAATATTCATTTTTAGAGCGTTAGTGAATTAAAAAAAAAACAGTATAAAAACCGGAATGTCCAACTGATAAGGCTAAACATTTTTTCACTTGTTATTTACAGTAAGATAAATACATTCACCAACTTTTATTAAAATAAAACCATTTAAACTGGGTGTTCGGATTTATATGTCACTTAGTATATAATGTATTAGGAAGTCTATGAGATAATCAAGGCAACCTGGCTAGAAAAAGATGTTCCACTTCAATTTCTTGTTTAGGCAAAGTAGGCTAATATTTTTCATCAAGTTATTTTTCTTAACCATAAAACACCTACAGATCAAATTTCCGAACGTCAAAATTGAACATAGAATCTACAAGTTATTGCAATGCAACTGTTAAAATTCATACAATTAACTATTATCGTTGGCCCATAACCCTGTGATAGATAGTATTCTGACACCAAATCAAAATATCCTAGATTTTCGTTTTTATTGCAGTAAAAAAAAATGATTTAATAAAAATGCATTCTACAGCTTTGCGAGTTCCTACGGTTGTTTTTGATTAGTGGTAGCGAAAATGTAGTTTCATGGAAATGATACAGACTCATCTTACTGTCATTTAGAAAAATAATTCCTAAGCTTAAATTGCTGAAATATATAAACCAATGGAAATAAACGCATACATATTTATCACAGGGATCCTCCGAGTAGTAAATCGTCTGATCTTTAGTTCAATCACTTGAAATAGAATATTCTATATTCTATTTTGGTATTAGAACATTTACTTCTTGATGTTTTAGGGCTTAAAAGGAACCAACGTTCATTCTATTAGCGAGGAAATAACCTGATGAAAGCAAAGAATGACTTCTAACCCGATTCTTCGTAAATAAATATTCTTGTCGTTAAGTAACCCCTTCCACACATCTTCACCAAATAATCTGTCCACTTACAATTCTCCTTAAAGATGTTGCTATAATTATATTAAACGTTTTGATTGTAATAAGTGTTTGAAAATGGCCAAATCCCAAGAATAAATAGCTTAACGTGGTATCAACGGACATGAATACAAAACTTTAATGTTTGGGTAACTATTGATAGCCAGAAATTCTTTGCTGGAAATAACCTATTGTATTTTCAGCATAAGGACGCTATAGTTACAGTCTACAATTCATTTTATGCTGTATCTCTTTTGCTTTTATCGTTATATTGTTTTTTACGAAAGATTAGTCATTTTAACTTTAAAAAAGATACAATGAATTTATTTCGTTTGAAAAAACTTTTTGTGAGATTTGCAATCCAACGTTATATTGCATAATATTTAGTTAATAGCGGAATATGCCGATAAGAAATGAATGCTGTTATGGATATTAATTTTGTAACGCCAACACGGTTGGAGTATAATGAAATATCCATGACTGCGTACATTTCTCGTCCACAAATTCCATTCTCTATGGACTGTTCTTGAGTCAGCTATTTTAGTATGCAATAGCATTCTGAAACGCAAATATCACGGAAATGATTTGTTTAACAGATATGCATGTAGAGTATGATGTTACATGCCATGTCAATTGGCGTGAAATATTATGTTTTTTGGGTGTTACAATACATCTACATAACAAAAAACCGTGTTACTCATTTCCTTCAGTCTGTCTGTCTGTTTGCATGTGACCCCCTGAGAATCTGACTGCCTCATAAATAAGGTCAGTAAACTAAATGATGAGATTAGCAACGTAGCGCTCGACCTGGTAACACTTGAGAAGCCGGGATTGGAGGAGAGAGAGGAGAACATGTGATCTGACTTTAGTACAAGTTTGAACTCGCTCGAGTGGTTTGGTTGACCGCAGCGATTTTTTTGTGAAATAATATTTTTCTATAGTGTTCTGAAAATGCAAACGGAAACCCTTGCTAGTATTCAGTATTCCTACAGAGAGCCCATGCGTTTCGGAGGTTTAAGGCGTTTTTAGAGGGGAAATAGTAGATTGAATATTGACTACGAAACGGAAGGCCTTCATCTTCAATGACCGATAAAAATATTGACAGAGTCCGGGATCTTGTGTGTTTAGATCGTCGGTTGACAGTCCGAATGATCGAGAAAGAGTAAACAGCAATGTCAATGAACGAGTTTTTGGCTCCTCAACCACCTTACTCGCCTGACTTGAGTCCTTGTGATATTTTTCTCCTACAGAGGAATTATTTCAAGGAACTCATTTTGGGGCAGTCGAAAACATGGCTGTAACCGTCCAGCTGAAGGCTATTCCGGTATCGGAGTCCCAGCACTGCTATGAGGAGTGGGAGAACCGTCTCCAGCGCTGTGTCGCTTCAGAAGGAAGTTACTTTCAGGGTGACAATATCAAATTGCAAATATATTTGGATAAAAGAAATAAAAGATCAGTCTCATTGCTTAATTTACAGACCTCGTAAATCGCATATTTAACATAGAATTGCATGACATACTAAAGACACGACATCCTGAGAAAATTTTGCGAGGAAGGAATATTCAAATCCGCGAGCCTTTGAGGCGATGCGCTAGCGGTCGATACCATAACACATTGGGCTAATTAGATCTATTCCCGTCCGAGATAGGTGTATATTATCTTTTGGTTGCCGTCGATTACCGGAGTCTTAAGCGTAAAAATATATTAACGCCAACAAAGCTGAGGTATACAACTGTTACATCACTTGCAACTCCCCATTATTAACTTTCTAGATCCCAAAAGAAAATATCTAAAATCAGCGGAAGTCTCTGAAACATCAAATAACTCAGAGCGATTTTTATTTTTCCTGTTTTTCCACGTAGCTTCGTCGCCACTGGACCTATTTTCAAGATCCACAAAGCCTTTTTCTTCTTGGCATCACCGGAACATTGAGTCAAAATGTCAAAATCAGAGATACTAATACATACTAATAAACTTAAATGATATAGTAACTAATACTCACTACTTATATAACTACATCCGTTCCTACCAATCATAGGTGTTTGAAAAATAAACAAAAATTTTCGTCAGCTACAATGGTATGTCACATACGATCTAATAAAGGTAACTAATAATAAAAAAAGCAACGCACTATTTTAAACAAAAACATGTGCAGATAAAAAATGCGTGCCCAATGACAAGCCTGACACTCAGACTCACTGACAATGTTTTTAATGTTTGGAGTATAATTTGATACCGCTACTCGAATACAATAGTTCAAATGTTCATCTGTAAGTCGATTACGTTATTTGTTTTTAATAAACTTCATATTTGAAAAAGAAGATTCATACAAATAGGTTGAACTGAATAACGCTTTCACTTTGAAGGCAACACGACATAGAACTGATATTTATCTGTACTTACTGAAGGCCAGATACATTTTGTATTTGAGACCAATGATTTTGAGGCTAAATCAGTTTGAAACGCAATCACATACATTTCCGGCGCAGCGATGTCGTAAAATTCTGCGTAACAGAAGTTGCAAACTGTTGGATATTAATTTCCATGAAGGATGAAACAACAAATTGCGCCACTATAGCAATTTCGTTGAAATCCTTGAAACGATTTTTGAAGTTATCCTTCAAGTTAGAGACTATTTCTACATGATATTTACTATCATATGGTTCTAATGGCCTTTGAGATATCTTTTCTGAAAGAACAGAAAAATTCCTGGTATCGCCATCGATTAAGTCTTGTTCCCAAAACTCAAGCTTTTTGATAAACGCTTTTATATTAGAAATCATTTGTGCTAGTTCTTTGTCTCTCTCTCTGTAATATCCACAAGAAAACAAAAATCTCTGAGCCAGATTGAATTTTCCAGTTCCGGAATCGGTTTATCACGTTGATTGAAAAATTGAAATATAACAGATATGGTATCATTAAAACGTTTTAGCACTCGCTCCCTACTTAATCATCGGATTTCAGAATGAAAAAGTAGTTCCCCGTATTGACAGTCAATTTCATCGGCCAAAATCTTGAATAATCTTCTTTGTAACGCTTGAGCTCTATCTTGTTCACAATTTCATGACGTTGTTCAGTTTTAGAAAAAGTCCACATAATGAATGCTCATGGATAATTCCGTTTTAACAGAGAAATTGCGGAAAACTTTCATTTTTACGACATAACCCCACGAGACCCTTATCACGACCCACCATAGCCCGAGCGCCATCTGTTGTCAGGCCTATAGGAATTTTCTCAGAAGAAATAATATTTTTAAAAGAAGAAAACAAGTTTTGTCCAGTAGTCTGTCCTTTTAGTGGAATAAACTTCAAAAGATCTTTAATCGTAAAATCACTAAAAACCATCCTGAAGAACACGGCCATCTGAGAGGTGTCAACGGCATCTGTGGATTCGTCGAGCTGCAGTGAAAAATAAGCACAGTTATAGAAGTCATTTCTTATTTGTAAAAATATATCATTGTTCATTACTTCTACTCGTCTCATCACTGTATTAGCAGAAACTTGCATAGATTTTATAGCAGACACTATCTCGTCTTTATTTCTAAAGTTGGCAAATAATTAATCTGCTGCTTTTAAACGCGCCTGTTTTATCATTTAATTTATTTTATTTTATTTTTATTATATTCATTACAACACCCTACAGTAAATACCAATTACAGGGTGAGGAAACACAGAACATAACATAGATACAAAAAAAAATAATAAGTACTAGACTAGAAAGTGTAAAAGATACATGCTGGTTACTTAATGGTATTTTTTATGTCTGCAATTCTGCAGTTAAATATACCAATCCGGTTACTTGCAGAATTGTAATTCCTAAAGGGGTATAATGTATATAATTTGTCCGTGCCGCAGGTAGATAAAGCATAACGTTTTGTCGGGATGTCAGCCTAGGTACCTTAAATGATAACTGACCCAAGGAAGCTAAACCATCACTAGCATTATTGATCAATTTAAACAGAAAAATCACTGCCTGGCCTTGCTTCAAAACTGCTGCTTAGATGTTTAGATGTTAGAAGGTATCATGAGGCATACCTACGGGGGGTAAACGCCATACACTTTCAGTGACAAATATTTTAAAAAACGTCTTTGAACACATTCAAGCCTACTTGTATGAATAATATGATGCGGATTCCAAATTAGCAATGCATGCTCAAGCTTCGAACTAACATATCCATAATACAGCAACTTCAAGGTGGTACTCTGAGTGAAGTCACGGCAGTTTCTTACAATAAAGCCGTATCTGCGGTTTGCTTCCGAAATTTCCCTGTCTTCATAAGGTCGCTGGACTTTGTGCCCCTTGTGACAGGATGTAGATGTTATGTAACAACCGATTACACCATTACACTAACTTTACCAATTGACGAGAGGAGTCTTACGTAAAGGAAAAACCATGTACGGTACATTTGGAGAATAGGTACCATTGCTATTTCGGTAGAATCAGTCTGGTGGTGGCGTAGTCTGGCATAATTAGGCAAAATCAACATCCAGCTCAACTTTTAATAGGCTCTATATAACTTTCAATTCTGTTGGAAAATATGGAACGTAGCTGATTGCCGGCCTTGCTTCAGCACATGCTCATGATATAAAGTTTTATTCTGAATCTGTATCTACATCATTACATGCACTATATATATACATTGATGTTGAGTCATTTATTTTAACAGTGAGTAGATCTGATCAAAAGAAATGTTTTTTCCTTTACCATTTTTCTGGTAAAATTAAAGTAACAAAGTTATAGCCCTTTGGAAGTTTGAGTACCGCCCTGTCTCAATAATAATATTATGTGGTCGTGTTTGGCAACAACGGATATAATCCGCCTTAACGGTTCATCGCATCGGAAACAAAAAAGCGAAAGATTTTGGAACGATGTTTTTACAATAATTTTATTCAGTTGTATACAGTCAGTGTCAGTCGCTAACGCGTGAGTGAATAGTGGTGTCTGTTGCGTGGCTCAAACGAAATAAAAAATGGCACATGTTTACGAAAATTCTGAACTTGTGGACATGATTCTTATTTACGGGGGGAGGAGCCTTTATGCGGATCGGTTTCCCAATCGAGTGCAACCAATCCCTCGTGCCTTTGTTAATGTAGTTCAAAGGGCTCGTGAATCAGGTGACTTAAGACCTCACAGGGGAGGCATGCCGGTGCTCCAAGACCGCACGATCAAATACAGGTCCGCACTGAAATACTTGTCGGGAGGATCCTTTATAAAACAAGGTATCATTTTTTTAATTTTTATTTTTATTTTTACACACATATTTTGGTTTATCTTCCTTCTACAATCGTTATCTGAAAATTAATGACTCAACTTCAAAGTCACCCTGTATATATATACGAGACCCTTCCCACTTCAGTTGGCCCACTTCAAGATTTGTACCAAAATATGCCTTTATAAACTAAACATGACGAAACTATTTACTTCTAATATAATTTATTTTTTCAAAAACATTTTAGATACACTCTAGTCGTAAAAAATACATATTTGAAGTCACTTAGACCTATAGCTAATAGAACATCTGAACAAATAAACAATGTGCGAATAAATGCGCGAAGCTAACAAAGCAACAATAATTGAAATATTACCATTGGGTAACATCACCTTTATTTTTTATTACGGCTGAAATTCTTTGGGGCATAGTGTTAACCAAGTTTTGGTAAAAATTTGATGTAAAACAATGCCATATTTCTTGAAGCTTTTGTCTTAGTTCGGTGATTGTACGAGCAGGTTGTTGTCGTAGAACATTTTTCATCTCGTGCCACAAAGTTTCAATAGGTGACAGATCTGGACTGCTAGAAGCCCATTTCAAAAGTGGTACATTATTTTCTTCCATCCATATTATAGTCTTTTTTGAGATATGGCACGTTGCACCATCTTGCTGAAACACAAAATCTTGGCCGGATGTCAAACATTCTTCAATCACTGGTAAAAGCGATTCTTCTAAAATTGCCAAATATTTGTTTGTATCCAAATTTCCATCAATAAAATGAAGTTTTCCTACCCCTTTTGATGACATACTGCCCCAGACCATAATGGAAGCTGGAAATTTCACTTTTCTCTTCAGACAGTCAACATGGAATGCTTCATTTTTTTTTCGAATAACTCTACTGCGACTGTCACCAACACAAACTTCGAATCAGGCCTCATCACTCCATTGTATTGCACATCATTGTTCAGGTGTCCATTGCCTATGTTCTTTAGCCCATCTAAGCCGATTTTTCTTTTGCTGTGGAGTTAATAGTGGCTTTTCTTTGGTCTATAAACAAGTTGTGCAACTTTAGGGTTTTTATAAGAAAACTTACCTTGCAAGTGCTAAATCCCAGTTTGTGGGCCTCTCTATGAGTTGTGGATCTCGAAATTCTCCTTCCAACAGCGTCACTCCACAGAGCACTTAATTGTAAATAATTGGCACGCCTGTTTTTCACGATTATTCTTCTTAATGCTCTTCGGTCGGCATTTGTGATATTACTTTTTTCACATATCGTGGCTTAATATTAACTGAACCAGTTACATTATATCTTCTAACAATATTTCTTACGCTGTACCGCGATAAGTCTAACAAAGTTGCAATTCCTGAGTTTGATTTCCCAGATTTAAAAAATTTAATTATCAGTAACCGAATTTTCTCACTAATAACCTTTCCTCTACCCATTTTGAAAACCTTAACTTCCAAAAACTATTTTAAACGTATTCTGACAGCTGTGATTAATAAAAACAATTGTCATGGCTTTTATTTTTCACAACCACCTATGCGTTATAGACTTATTTTGCATTGAAATCAAAATAGGCTGATATGCTGTAATTGCAACATATGTTATTTTTATGCTCCAAATTTGATTAGGGAGTGATAAAGTTGGTGTTTTCTACTATATATTATCAAAATATTCATTGCTAATATTTTAAACTTATAACACCCTGCTACAATTTTATTATTTGTGTTTGATAAGAAAAAAACTAAGATTTCAATAGTTGGGCCAACTGAAGTGGGAAGGGGCTTATATATATATATATATATATATAGAAAATGATCACGCGGAGAAAGGTATATAACAAAAAGTAGGAAAATAATGGACAAAATCCGCTAAAAGGACGAAAGTGGATTCGAGCAGAAAATAGGATAGGTAACCCGAGCGATACGTATGTCTGCTGGTTGGCTTCATCAGGCCCGAAATGAATGCACATATGAAACTACAAAAGTAGATACACATGCCCACACATCCGGATACGGGTGTAACCTGAGGAAACGAAGATGGAGAGGGAAAGAACGACACACGAAGTCCACAACATAAGCGAATTTTCAAGGAGACATCTAACCACAACCACGCGGCCGGTTTTAGCCACTTGCTGTGGTATTTCTACTACTATGACCGTGGGCTTATAACTGCATGCTTACAAATTGTATCTCATAACACAAAAGTATCATTTTTAGTATTTTGAACTGTTTGAGAGATTAATGGGGAATTATTGGTTAGCAAATGCCCCTCTCGTGTCTAGCTTAGAATTAAAGAAACTTGACAAAAAAATCGTTACTGTGGATCTATAAAGACATCAATGGTAAGGATAATCCTGGTAGACTTTCATGACATGCATTTTTCGTTTCGACTGCTTATTCCGGTACAAATTGCAGGAATCCATTAAATATCATTACAACTTGTCAGGGAACTACTAGTTATGACGTGACCTTTCAATACATCAATCCAAAGTGTGCCTTTTTTAAGAATTTTTTTTAAAAAATGCGTTGGCGATTAAAATCAATTTGAGAATACTGAAAATTAAGAAAAAT